GACAAAATTATGGAATTCACAGAGAGTTCAGAAGCAGAACGAAATATACACCGTCATTAGGTTAGTTGTCGCACTCGGAAAGGCTGTATAGGCACCATAGAACAGCCAAGTGGTCACCAAAGCTAGTACTTTAAGCTTTTCGGTCTTTGAAAACAACGCTTTACGGGCTTTGATCAAGTGACACATGATGATGTTTGACACGCACGCACACCTTCCCGTACTTGACTACACACCATCATGGTGTTTTAACCTTTTGGCAGCTGCACGCAATCCCGCTCCAGTTTCCACGAATACTGTCCCGGCCGGCATGACTCTCGACCACGGATCCCACTCAGAAGTTGGAAGCTTCCATCGAGGGCCTCGCCTCTCGGGGTGGCTGATGCTCCCTCCCTTCCCCCAAGGAGATTCCGGACAACCCCCAAGCCCGCCCACTTCACGACCTCAGAGGAACTGCGCCGTACGGGAAGCGGGAAGGAGCTGAGTGGTAGCTTCCCGAAAGAGACAAATCTGTCGCAGCTGTCAGGTGGATGTCATTGCTTAGGTTACGTTTGAATCTCGCGGTCAATACAATGCTTGCAACTCTCGTATCGGAGAAAGTGCGCCATGACCTACGTGTTCCATCACAGACGGCCAGACATCTAATATCGAGCTTGTTTGGCGATATAACATGTCTTGGCGTAGTGACTTAAAAAAGGACAAATTTGCAATGGGCAGGCAAGTGATTTGATTAAATCGAAAGCTTGTTCAGTGAAGAGACTGGGAGCAGGGCTCTTGCAAGAATCAAGGGACTCTACACGTGTATGGCACGGTACGGTCAACGCCCGATACACGAACCGCAATTTTAGGTTTATAGAGGGGTGTCACGTACGGAGATGCCATTCTCGAGATGTGTCATGAGGTCCTTGTATACTCGTCCTGACCCTACCTGCATACGTCAATCAGGATATGGCCACTCTGTATTGATACACGTGGAAGCACGGGTGAGCAACGGCCGGACACACAAACTTGGACGTCCACACACCATCTCAGCTACCGTTCCACGGTGCTCAGTGGGGATCGATCCCGGGAATCTTTCCGCCCGGTCCGCACGCAGCCACTTGCGAATCGTGGGCAGCAGCGTCCCATGATGTCTGTTTGACGACATTTCTGGGCAGAAATTTCCAGACGACATGAAACAAACCCATCTGATCTTTTTTTCTTCCTTTTCGTCTCTGTGAAATGCCATATTCGCTTCGGGACATATGACGATTACGGTAATTCGTCCAAAGGTGTCCCAAGCCAAAGGAGCAATTCTGAGCAACTCAGCAACTCGTGACAACCCTTTTAGGTTATTGCACCAACCAACGACAAACTCTCTTCTCCTCTTGGCCCTTTGTCAGCAATACGTACCTGAAACCAACCGTGCCACGCTTCTGGAAGCTTGCCATACTGGGCCACGCCCCGAGAAACGAGTCAGAGGGCGGAAGGCTTCACTGTCAGGGCTCTCGCCTCAGTAAACATCAAGCTCGAGTAGAAAAAGGCGTGCTCGGGATTGCCTCGGAAAGGAAAGCCATGGGGGGCCCGCCCGATGCTATTGTCGGACCTGGCCCGGTTCCTGATTCAGACGACAGCCCACTATCGCCCTGGAACTTCTGATTGTTGGTACAGCAGTCGGAGGGGGACCGTTTCTATGCGTAACAAACGGCGGGTCTCCTCGTTAGTCATTGCGGAATGGGCCGCTGGGACGCTTGATAATCATATACTGCGTAACGAGGCCCATTCCGAGGCTCTTCCTGACTCGAGTCCGAGGTTCAGTATCGCAATATCTGTGTCAATTCTAGTAGGATTACCATTTCAGGCGGAGCAGCCACGATAGCCTGTAAACTGGGGTGTACCAATCAGAGCAGCCCGTCACTTCCAGCTCTTGGAAGTGGCACCCGGCCGGCAACTCATAGCCATGTGGAATCATGGATCGATGGGATGCAGGGATATGTGTACAATTTTTTGAAGTATCGAATACGATGCACGATACCCGCCACTAAGTGGACCGAACGTTGAATGTTGCACATATTGCGAAAAGGACGAAAGGAAGGGGTGAGTACGAATTGGGATAACGAGTCGCAAGATGTGCGTAAAGTGGACGATTTGCAGCATGCCGCCAAGGCATTGTCTCCGTACGGTTTAAACTTCCAGACCTCGGTGAAGGCGACGGACACCGGTGTTGGGGGAGGCCTTTTAGACACAGACGCCAAGAATGTTGGAAAAGTTCGAGAAAAAGTCTATGTGAAAAACTATCGCGGGGTCCTGACTCCCGCGTTAGCCGCGGAGGCCACGCCTAAAAATGGTGGTGGAAAGGGCAAAGAAAAACCCTCAGAAAATAGACCATCCGAACTATCGAATTATGTGCCTGTGTCATCGAATGCTAGCATTCAGAGAGCTGCAAGTCACTCACGTCTCTGGGCACGCTCTTTCTCTCACGCACTCACACACACACGCTTTGACAAACGCACACCCACCCACCCACACTGATCATCCTTACGTTCACCCCTCGCCCACAAGTCAGCTACCTCCAGGATGTATGCATCCGATCCAAGTAGACGCCAAGCAAAATATCCGCGGTGGGGGTGGCATCGTACCCGGGGGCCCAGATGTCCAGAGGGTCTCGCCATGAACCACGAACCGGACCCGAAGTGCGCCAACGGCTTCGGAGGAGCTCGGGGTGCCAAGCCCACTGGTGGTGCATGTCGTGGCCTTGTTCAATTACCAACCAACGGCATATCGTGCGACTGAAGACCACTAGACAATGTGATGTAAGCTGTGTGTAATGTAAATTCATGAAAGCTTCCTGACTTTTCAGCCCGGCGGGCCCTGGTGGGAATTTGACTTTCGCATCCCTGACGACAAGCACTCGTACTTGTATCGCAAACCTTGTCCGCAGAAGACCCTTCTGCCTGCCGGGCCCCGCACGGTCGTCGCAAGCGCGCTCTACACTACACTACCGGGACATGGACGGGGTTGAAGGGTCCTTAAGAGAGTTTGCGCTATTGATATCCCTCCAATTACCCTGTCTGGACGGAGAGATCACCGTGATCACCTGCTGCCTGCAAAGTTTGGTCGTACTTGAAGCGGTCAACAAGGCTGAACTGAAACACCAATAGTGAACGCTCGATGATTCGGTTGAATCGTTCGGTAGAATTCAGAGTTTATCAAGGTGATATAAGAAACTCCCAAGTAGCACTATCGAAGCCATGGCAGGCCGGGATCACCGACCTCTCCGCCCACCGTCTTCCGGGTCTCGGGGACGGAAGTACGGTCGGTTGGTGGAATTAGATAACGGCGGCGGCTGGAGCTATAGGCGGCAATCGGGGCTGAGGAGCTTGAACCCGGCGGTCCTTGTCGGTCCATGACACGTTCATGTTTGAACTCCATGGCGAAGCCAGGGTGGTAATGCCAACGCTGATCGGACCTAAATCCGATGAATGTCCACCTGGATAATCTTCGGGCTCACTCCGAACCTCTCGTTTTCTATTCAAGATTCGAAGCGCGCTCCAGAGTTTGGCAGAAAACCTGTATGCTGACATATATTGCGATAGAGTTTGTATTGATATATCCGTTTACCTGCTACAGTAACTCTGAACGTTGGGATGAAATCATTGATGGTTGCATCAACACCGCGTACCAAGATGGCAGGAAAGGAGAAACTGGTGCCAGAGAAACACCGAGGACTTCTACGAAGCTTTGGACGGAGGATGGCGCAGCCGACCTATCGATACTCCGAGGTGTCACGGAGCTTGAGCCATTAGGTAGCTTTCAAAGTGGGAGCCCCTGTCCAACACCCTGGACGTATTCACTATAACCCTCAACCCAGAGAAGATCGTGGGGCAAAGCAGAGATCCTGAGAAAAAGTAGTGCGTATTCGTAGGCAAGCCTTTCCACTCGAGGGATCGCATCAGTTCTCAGACCTGCTGACAATTTATTTAATCACCTAATACGATTTTAAGTTAAGATGGCCCTCGTAAATTTGACGCGAGCGAATGGGAGAATATCGCAGCGATGCGCTGAGGCTAACACATTCCGCAGATTGACTTTTAATGAGCGATGAGTCCAATATGTTGGTTCCAGACCACTCGAAATTTCTGCCTGTTGATGGAGCCAAGAGGACGGACTAGTCAGTGCGATAGATTTGTGATGGCGGTGAAGTTATCATGGGGCGTGTAAGACACTGCGCATGCGTGGTGAGACTAAAGTTTGTGGCCTGTCGCAGACACGTTCGTATCTGAGACTGACCCGGGCCGACTTCCGAGTGATGAGATGAGGTCGGATACCGGCACCAATCTTTTCCGAGAGCAGTCACGTGAAGAAACGCCACTACATCCATCACCAGCCACATCTCTTACGGCATGTTCCGCGAGCTGGTGCCGCCTCTACCGGGTACCCACGACACAGCTGGGCAGTTCGTCGGAAGAGCTCCATTTCTGGTCAGATTTTTTCAACATCCAGGGTCAAAGACGCGAGAACGTTCGCCGCGCGCGTAAGCCACCGAAGCAGCATCCGCACTGATCAGTACGACCGAGCCTTTCTGCGAACTTTTGGGCTGACTGTGTGCGCACCTCGACGACTGGAAGCTTCGGCGACGACGGCACCATCGGAGACCGGCGCATCGGAGGCAAAACACACTTTTTGTCGTCATCCACGCGGAGTTTACGGCGATTCGGACCCTAAGCATCCCACAGAAATCCCGTTTGCACGCAAGCTCGATAAGCTCGGCGCGTCTCCAGCGCAACCCATCGTTCACTACCGACCTTACAACCTTGACTCGAGTCGAGGTATACCACAACAAGCCATAAGATTCAACAGCCTGTGTCTAAAGGGTTACTGGAGCGATCTTGCTTGCCATCAAGATGATGAGACCGGCTTTCCAATTGGCAACCATACCGCGCCGTGCGATACCGGCAGCGAGGCAAAACGCAACAGAGGCACTGTGGAGGAAGCAGTTCACTGCGCCAACGAGAACTTTCACGATGACACCCTCGCGAGCAACATATCAAAGACCTGGCGCATCGCAATTCCAATTCCGTTGGTCGCAAAGTCAGACTTCAAGCTGGATCACGTCTCGGCTCGAAACGATCTTCCGGTCATCACGCCGGACGTTCCGGTTCTCCGCTAGGCAGAGCAACTCAGCAAACGGTACTGCCAAGGAATCGCTTTCGCTCAGTCAAAGGTTGAAGAAGCTTTCGCGCGAATATGGGTGGTCGGCCGTTGGTGTGTATCTGGCCTTGAGCGTTCTGGATTTTCCCTTTTGTTTCCTGCTCGTGCGGATCGTTGGAACCGACCGGATTGGTGAGCAATACATGCGAGTCTAAGCGTGGTGAGTCAGTACTGACACATAGGCTGTAGGTCAACTGGAGCACTGGGTAGTGTCCCACGTTCAAAAAGTGATCCCTGATTCAGTCGAAAACTGGTGGACCGAATACAGAGCCGCACTCAGCAAGGCCGAGACCGAGCAGCTGGGAAACAACGACATCAGCGATGCGGTTGAGAAGGCAACCTGGGGAGTTGAGGAAGCTCAGCGCGCCAACAAAGCAGAAGCCAGTAAGTCGACACGAACTGCTACACGAGGCCTCCCGCGGCAGAGGGTTGAGAAGCTCCACGAACTGACTTTGTTGTAGGCTTGGGAACTCAGTTGGCTTTGGCATATGCAATCCATAAAAGTTTCATCTTCCTCAGAGTGCCTTTGACCGCCGCGGTAACGCCAAAGGTTGTCAAGGTGCTCAGATCATGGGGATGGCAGATCGGCAAACGGCGGAGCAAATAAGCCGAAATCTGGGGCCCGTCCAGCCTCCGCTCGGCTGGTGGGTCGGAGGTCCTGGGATGTCGGACACCTCCTTAATGTATTATCAATTGCACGAGACGCTCGCCTTATTCTCGGGATTGGCGTGCGAATCGGTCCTGTTTTTTCTTATTGACGACTTATAGATCCACTCACCATTTAGAACAGCATGGCAGCATCCAACAGCACTCCGCAAAGGACGCAAACTTTGTGCCGATATGTGTATAATACAGTTGGCTTGGCTGAATAGAATTTGCTTCGATACAAAGTGCTACCGGAAGTGCACGGCATGATGACCAACAGACGGTACTATTTGTGTTTTCGCATTGTAATCGACGCTGGGCTGTCAACGAGCCGTGACTCCCGAGTGTGTGGGAATGATCCAAAGTTTTGCTGAATCTTGCCATCGTCGAAACGTCATGCCCGAAGTCAAGGGCCCGAAGAGGGCCTTGGCGTGGGGACTGGAACGGATGAAAGAGTTGCAGTTGACTTGACATACAGCGGATGCAAGACAAGCGAGGAGCAAAGCGTCGTCCAAGCGCATGTAGCAAACATCGCTACTGAATGTTCTTCCGGCCTTCGAGAATCATGCTCGATTCATGATTCCCTAACAAAAAGAGACCGCTTCAGTCTTGGTGGCGCGCACAGGTCTGTGGTTGAGCACCAAACGTCAAAACCACACGGCCGAGCTACTGCCTTAGTTGAACCGACTCCGCGAGGGGATTCCCAGCCGGTCATGATATCCCAGATTGATAAGGTGACGCAGGTCTCCGGCACGGCCACGGCTTTACTGCGGCGTAGCTGGACCAAGCACCGGGTGGTGATGGTGGCTGCTGGTCAGAGTGGGCAACGGAATGTGGCCGATTGAAGGCTGGTTGACCGGGCCTGGCCACGCGATGGTGAAAGCTTTGGTCGGTGGCCGCGATGTGCTTCCCGTCGAAGCCGACCCGCCCACAATCTCCCGAAGTCTGTAGAGCCATCCAGACCCTTGAGATGAATCTCTTCCCCGTGAGCGGAAATCGAAGTGCGGAACGGTGCCACGGCACTGAATGGGATGGCCTCTTGCCTCGCTTTGCCTTGCCTATCCGCGACTCGCCTCTTGACCCCCTCCCCTGGAGACTCTCGCGTGGGTCCTGACGGTGATGTCTTCAGTCAACTCTCCACACTCAAGAGCTGAAGGAGCATAGAGTTTACTGGCCACCTCAATAACGGACGAGGGGTGCTTCTCATTGCTCAGTCCGAGTGGGTTGCTGAACGACGCAATCAGGTTCACCGCCGTCTGACCGGGACCTGACCGTCTACCTCAAACGGTAGAACACCCACAGCGTCCCTCCCTCACGTCTGCCGTGGCACTGTTGGTTCCTGTTTGTCAGGCCTCTGCATGATCACCCAGCCCGGCTCCGTACTTCTCCAGAATTTAAAGTTCTCGGTCTTCTAGAAAGAGAGCCAGGGCAGCACGTCCAACCGGTGGAACAGGTGGGAACCGGTGGGCCGTCGAATCCTGACTCGCCCCGGTTTTCGACGGAGCAGAGCCCTTCTTTCTGACTTTTGTCGTCGGTCGTTGTCAGCGATGAGTGAGATGGGGTTTCCAAAAATGATAACCATGTGGAAGCCACACAAGCTGTCTAGGTTTTGGATCAAAACTCTGTTTCTTACGCGGGGCCTGGGGGCCCCCCAGCAACCTCGGGATCTGAAGTTGGCCTCCCCCTACCTCACACTACCCTCGGCCCCTTCACCCATCACTGATCAGTATTCCATTCAGCATTCAGGTACCTCTCGGTCAGCCTTCACTACTGCAGGCTCTGCCAAAATCGTGTCGTACAGTACCTGCAACTGGCTGATGCCCTGGCCCGGGTGTCTCGTGCGATGATGGCCGGCGCACCCCAACTCCGCTTGACCCCCATCACCAAGCCGCCTACCTGTGCCGTTCCGTGCCTGGCACATCCGGAGCTCACTATGTAAAGGTGCAAGACAGGCAGGGCGGTGGAATTGTGGACAGGCAGGCCAGAACAGACGATGGTCGATCCACAACCGGTCCGGAAAAGCCGCTCCTCAGAAACAAACTCTGAATGGGGGTGAAGGTGGACAATCCGCGGAGGAATGCCAAAGATGAGCAACAGCAGGCCCCCTGTGCCGGACCCGGCCCAGCTCTCAAGTCCAGCCTCTGCCTGGCACACTTGCGGTGCTCATCACTGCTGTGATGCCGTTTTGCCTTTCGGAGGAGCGACTAGCATTTTCCCAACTGGGACACACCTCCGTGGTGAGCGACCGCCGCTCAGTTGTCAGGTCTGTTTCACGACAATCTCGACTGGCCCCAGGAGTCGTCATCGTAATTCCACGGTTTACCTCGTTATTGAGTAACGAAATTGTATCGCCGTTGGAGGACCCGGTAGCGTTGGCGCCGTCGTCGAGACCGCGCGGGCTCTCGGTCAAAGAATAGAGAGAAAGAGTATTGCGCCATCTGATATCCGTAGTGCTACGGACGTATGTCAAAAACAAAAACCCCCCTCTTGCATGCTTCCGTGGGTGGTGTTCTTCAGCCCTTTGGGGCACCAGCCACTCCGCAAAATTCGGGACTAATACATAGATCTGGTCGAACGCGGCCGGGCTTACACAGATGCTCTTGCTTTGCCACAGAGACCCGGCAGGCTGGTGATGATTATCGAGCTGTTCATTGGCGGTGGCTCGGGGTTTTCCTGCAATCCTTGCGCTCCAGATAGCGCGTGTTCTAGCACCTAGCAATTTAGCAAACGGGGCCCGAGACGTCGGCTAGATCAGAGATCGAGAGCCGCCCCGGGAAGAGTAAGGGGTCAAGGCAAGCTAATACCGTTACATACAGCACTGAACGAGTACCTCCGTAGGTACTGGTATTCTGTCTGCTGCGGCGGCCCAAGGTGTGGCACCATTCATTCTAGGCTAAGCGACGGAGATGTCGACTAAGTGCGGTAATGGATTCGAGGTTTCGTAGGGAAGCCAAGGCCCCATTCTGATTACTTCTCCGCTGTCGAACCTCATGCCCTAGTCACTGTTGGACCGTTCCCAAGAGCCCAGGCGGAAAGACAACCTAGAGGGAAACTCCACAGTGGGTTGGTTGTAGGGGTTTGCAGTTGCGTGGTGATTTTGAGAATCACTGAGAGCCGGGGGCCCAAACGGTCAAATGACAGGGAGCTAGTGAAGATCCTACAACTCCAGCTTTACGAACCAGCCAATCTCTATCGTGAGTTGAGGTCAATGTCTGGATGACGAGAGTCAGGTAAGGCGGTGCTTCAGCCTTTGAGCGGAGTGTCAGCAGGGAGGCTCCAGTCTCCAGAGACTATTCAGGGTCCGCGTAAAGGCAAATTTGGACAACAAATATGCCAAAAAGGGACGAATAGGCTCCATACAGCGAATAGAATCATTGCAGCGGTCCAATAATAAGACAGCGACAGAGAGCTTTTTTTCTCCCTCAATTACTGGACGTGCGGGGGAATGAGCGCCAGGTCAGTTGTACACTATCTACATTAGGGAGTTGTACCAGTTTGGTGCTCAAGTAGTAGGGCGGTACGGGTTGAAGGAGAGCTGGGGTAGCTCTCTCAGAGAGTTTACAACGGAATCTCGCAACTTCGGGGTTCCCTGCTTAGAGTGACCTTCGCTGCAACGCCACAGCGAATGGGTCAGCGTCGTGCTGGGCGTGAGGCGTTGATGATCGCACGCATGGGGCTGGTCTCGGTCAACGACCGAAAGCAAGCGTGACAGTCGCTGGGCCCGGCTGGCACGTTGGGGCATGTCGAACAACAAGGCTATGAAAGGGCCGAGATGGTTAAAAATGGGTAGCGAGTTCGGTGCCAGCGCGGGAGATAGAGGCGGAGGATTCAATTAGAGAATGATGATAATCAAAAGAGAGTTTGTATCAAGGCAGGGCCTCGTCTGACTCTTGATGAGAAAGGCATATCCATACATCCATCCAACAACGGGAGTCTTGCCGTATTCGGGAGCCTGTCCTGGAGGATCGGAGTTGCCATACCTCGGGATGAGGTTATACAACGTCTCGGACGGGAGGCGAAGAAGGGGCGCTGCCACGATGTTGGCGGGATGGCGCAAACAACGGGAGTCACGAACGGGAAAAAGAAAACACTGTAAAAGTTAGATATTCTGGAGCCATGACGATGTTGTTGCCCATCCCGATCCACACGCAGCTGCAGACAGGCGAAGGACAGAGGGTGCTGTGGGCAGCAGAGCGGGAAGGGCGAAAGGGAAGGGATGGAAGCTTGGCTCTCAGCCGTCGTTCGATCGTAGGACCACTCCCCCTAAGGAAGACGAAAAAATCCCAAAAAAGTTCCCTATGGTATTCCGTCCCGCGAGTCGCCAATCCCGGGTCGGAAGTCGGCTCGCTCCCTCCCAGCAACTCGGAAAGATAGAGTTTATTGTAAAACAAGGCACTTCGCTGTCCATGCAGGCAGCAAATTTCCACATTCCTTGCGGCGTCACCTCCCTCGCACTTCAGCCCGAGAGAGGCGTGTAGCTAGGCCAAGGTGCCCCGCACCTTTGTGCTCCGAGGGGTGAGAGTGCAGGAAAGAAAGGGTTGTATCCGTAGTCTGTAGATGCCAGGACATGCCCCAGGGTGAAGGGTGGAGGGAAGTCTTGGCGACAACAAGGGGAAAGCTACGAATACCTACGGCTACGGCTACGGGATACTCAAGGGGTCGCTTGACCTGACTTAGACAACCTTGTCGTTGAGAAGAGAACAATACGCTGACAAGCTGATTAAATACGACACAATGGAGAAGGAGGAAAATCCACTCTTGACACGAGAGGAGCACAGAGCGTTAACCGCGCACATACCGTGGAGCACCACCATTT